ACAGAAGGAAGAGTAAACTAAGGAAGTTTGCAAGAGTAGTAATTGCAAGAAGCTGACACAGGTGCTAGGCCTGAAGCAGCCGGAGGGGAAGCGTGACTGCTGTCCATCAAAGGGGGCTGGAGCTGACGCAGGCGCACCGCCGTCCCTCCGCCCCTCAGTCCCTCCGTGTCTCTGTGTTCATGCTGCTGTGACGACCGCCTGGAGGTACAGTCACTGTTTCCAGTACGGGCACTAGAGCTACGGGGAACACCTCTCTTAGCCTCCAGCTTAAAGAATTCCACCTTTAGCCTCTTTACCGTTTCTTTACTCTTCGTCTCGGTAGCACACGCTACTAGTGTGCAGGTTACAGAAAACTTCTCTAAATCACCAGGAACAGCTCTGCAAATAGCCAAATGAACTCTCTAAGATATTTACCCATTTTGTCGAGTTTCATTTCTGAGAAACTTTCTTAGAGAAGTAGTGTTAAATATGGAAAACATGTAGGCATCAAGATGTTCATCACAGTGTTATTTATAAAATTAGAAACAACTGAAATCCTTAAAGACATGTTGAAGAATGTCTAAAGTAAAAATGGGAAATCATGTAAAATTTTTAGTGACGTGAAAAATACTTATGTTTCACGTCACTAAAAAAAAAAGCTAAAAAGCGCACAAAAATGCGCCAGCAGAACCGCATCTACAGTATGATCGCACCTGGAGGTCATGAGTGCTGTTTACTACTGGGATGGTGGTGGGACTTGAATTAAACACTGTGTTTGAGCCCTACTGAAGGGCTGGGCCCATTACAGCATCTGGTAAGTGTTAGCTCTTAGTGTGTTAAGCACGTACAAATGTGAATGTGTAAAAAGACAAAAAGGGAGGACTGGGCAGTGATTCTTTTATTTTGGTGGAGTTGTGATCGACTTGCAGGAGGATTTTCTACTTGTCTGTGTTTTGCAAATACCTCATAATGAAGCAATATTTCGTTCACCCTGAGGAACTGTATTAAACGAAAATAACACATAGGTTATTATTCAGTGTTTGGAGTCCTTGCTAAACCAACACAGAGATGGGGGAGAGAAAATCTCCTGGCCCTCTTGCACTCCCAGGTGAGCTAGCCAGTAGGTTCAGTGGTGAAGTCCACGAGGCTGAGACAATCGAGTGCAGGTGAAGAGACCTGCAGGTGAAGGAACTCGTGGGAGCACGCCGGCAGGTGGGCCGGAGAAGTAGACCTGAGCGGACTTGCCTCCCGCATCTGGGGAAGCGGCCGGGAGCAGCAGAGTGGGAACCTGCTGCGACAGGTAAGGACAAAGTCCTTCTTCAGTTCAGGGGCACCTGGCGCATCTTTGTCTCAAGGGAGGCAGTCAGCAAAAGACCCCCGAGTGTCAGCTCCATCCCGCTCCGGGTGCCTAATCTCACACCTGCCCAATCAGCCCCTGTGGTCCCCGGCGGGGCCTGGTGCAGGGCCGGGTGGGGGCGCCTACCGCACTTACTCGGGAAGGCGGGTGTTTGAGAAGAAACATCAGCTTAGTGTTCCGTGGTGGCGGTGACGTTGCAAGTCTTCCTGCTGGGGCTTTTATCTTCCTAGTCCCTCTCTTTCCTGCCGTGTTTCCAACCCCCCCGCCAAGTGCCTATGTGCATAAACTACTTAACACTCTGGGAGGCTGGTGCTTAGCAGAAAGGATTCTGCGTGTACCATTTTCATGGGCATGTTCCATTAAATGATCGGTTCCCACTGGGTGACGGAAGGCCTCAAGGGTGAGTCTACTTTCAATCAGTTTCTGCCCCAGGCTTTCATGGCGCCAAGCAAAACCTTCACGCTGGAGTCTGTTTGCTGCGTGATGGCCAAAGATGGAGGTCTCCTGGCTACACTTCCTTTTCTGCATTGGCTGTAAAGACGGGTGCTGGGCTGGGGAAGTGCTGGTGGCAGGAGGTCTCTGTTTTTGCTCCGGGGCTGCTGGAGGCGTGCTCAGGTGTCTGTCTACACTGCTAGGAGCTAGGTCGGGTCGTGTGAACACAGGTAGAGTCCGTTTCTCACTTGCTCATCTTCATTGCTCTTTGGATTCGGGGCTGAGGAGCTCATTTCCTGCCTCATTGCACGCAGAACCTGAGGGCAGCGTGAGCTTTGATGACTGAGTTGATCTCTAAACAAGCCGAATAGTCATTAGGATTTAAATCCAGGATTAAACACTGTCCAGGGCTCCCAGCGTTGTGGTGCATGCAGAGGCACAGGCTGCCTCCACGGCTGTCAGCCTTGAGGCAAGGAAGGCGGTCGGAGTCTCCGGGGGCTCAGCTGGGGCTGGCAAACACGGGTTCTGTTCCTGGACCTGTAGAATCCCGGCTCCTCTCCTCATGAAATTCAGCGGCGTCGACAGCAGCCTTGTGGCAGTTAGCTCAAAGCAGGCTTTGCAAATACTGGAAAACTCAAGTCTCTACCTGGGACACATGCAGGGTCGACCTCCCGGTTAACGACATATCCTGCCGTTGTTCTGGTTTCAGCTCTGCTGCCGTCATGCTGTGTGATGCTGGGCCACTCACTCAGCCTCTCTGGGCCTTCTGAGACGAGGCAGTTGGACGGGAGGAATGGTCCAGCTCAAACTTTGAGGACTCTGTTTTGGGCAGAAGCTTTAGGGTTTTCACTTTCTTCCTAATATTTGGGCTGGTACACCCTTTGAAGTCCCCTTTATTTTCCAAAATTTTGGGTCTTGTCTTTTCAAGCTCAGTTTTACAATTTCTTGGTAGCTCTTTCCCCCAATTTGTGTTTACCGTAGAAAGGGAAGTCCCTTTGTCTTCTCAATCTACCGCGTTCCTCGAAGCCTTCTGTGCGCTGCTTCTGTAATTTAAACGAAAGATAAGAAAAGTCTTTCTTCCAATCTGTCCACGTACTTCATATTCCCTGTGGTAATTTGAACAGTCTTTTCAGTGTGCGGAGACAAAAGGTTTTTAGGACCACGTTGTGATGTTGTTAAGACAGACCCCTTGTGGGCGTTCTGTGCTGTGTAGAAGCGCAAAGGGAGCCGTGGGGGGGGGCTAGAATCAGGCGGGGCGCAGACCCCAGCCGGACCTTGGCTCCGCAGCGTGGGCTTTGGCGTGAAAGCTTCTCGAGAGCTGGCACTTGCTGTCCCGATTCCCGCTCAATAACCCTGTTCCCAGCACAAAGGAAGCCCACAATAAGCAGTTGCTGAATGGATGAAGAAGCAAATAATTGTAACTTTCTGAATGTTTGTATCCTTAAAAGTAAGAGTAACAGGTGTCAGGTGGCTGTGCAGCTTAGAGACGGTGCATGTAAAGCACCAGGTGCGTGGTGGGCGCTACAGGCACGGTGTGTGGTCCCCGTGAAGGGAGGACCGTGGGGTTGGTCGAGGCGGTCAGAGTGGAGCGTGAGGGTGTCCTAGGCAGGCTTTTCTGTGGCTCCTCGTGTGCTGTGGGAGTCACCAGTCACTCAGAGAGCTCTGCCCACCCTCGCCCACCTGATGCACCTGTTGCCGGAGATGGCTGTCGGATGCAGTGTGGTTCTCACCACCCTGTGCACAGCGCCTCCGGTCCTGCTTCTCTTACGACCAGTGCTTGTTTTTCTCATTGCCGTCCAGTCTGTAAGGCAGCACCTGGCCTGCTGACTGCTGTCACCCTCAGCCTCTGCTCAGCATCCTTTGCGTGCTGCATGGAGGTCGGTCTGCGATCAGTTCCTGCCCACCTCCCTTTTTCCTCTGACTGTCTTGTCCCTGCAGCTGGAGGCTGTTGACGAGATAGCTTTTGTCCTTGCTGGCTTCCCACTGGCTGGGTGGCCCTGTGGTTTGCTACACACACACACACACACACACACACACGCATACACGCTCACACTCACACAATGTATATGTATACACACAAACACACCACAATTCCACATTGGTGTGTGATTTAGATGTCTTTGATAAGGAGAGATGACTTGGTTTAAGCTTTCGAATCTATGTGATTTTCAACTTGTCAACACTCCAACTATCCTTTCGTTGATTCTTTACCCCGTGTTTATACCTGTGTCAGGTGTGGTGGGGACAATGCACCCAGTCAAGGTTTTCATCTTTTGTGTTGAGAAGAGTAGTGTTTGTGTTTTGTTTTGTTTTGGTCTGGGAGCGTTTGGCAAATCAGAGATGGAGTCATAGGCTGGTGTCGAATGATGTGTATTCACAGGGGACGTGGTGTGACTCGGGCTGTGAGCAAACCTCGGATACGGAGATGAGATTGGGCTTATGGCCGGGGTGGGCTACAGGGCTTCAGAGGGTAGAAGCTTCTGCAGCTGGGCCTTGAAGGAGATGGAAGATTTCAACAGTGGGCTGGGCGGGGGCTGGGGGGCAGTTATAGATGGAGCACAGGTGCCTCAGGCTCCTTTCTCCCAGCACTGCGCGGGCGGGCTTCTCTTGTGTTGGAGTAACCCCATGCAAACTGGGCGCAAGGGTGGGTTAGAGGGTCCCGTGGAGAACACCCCACACAGGGCAGATAGCACAGTGGGAAAAAACCCAGCGCACCTTCAAGAGCAGAATCACTAACTAGGAATAAAGAGAAACTTCCGAACTGGAGTCAAGTATGTCTAGCAGAAAACAAAAACAAAAATTACTCCTATTTGTGAAACATTAAAAGAATTCCTACTTAGAAGAATCAATTTGTATACACTCTTAAAAACACAGACGCCCATTTACAGGTCGAACTGTCGTCTGGTAGTTTCTTCTAAAGTAATCACATTCACAAAATGTGTAATGCGTGTTTGCTCATCGTAGGAGCCTGTATTCATAAAAACCGCTGGGAGTGTTCAATAATTAGAGGCTGGTTAAACAGAGTGTGGTGTAATTAGGCAATGGAATGCTGTGCAAAGGCAAACACTACTTCCTGTCGTCCTCCAGGTTTCAATTCTATCAGCCTCTTCTGTGCGCCCGCCTGCAGCGCGGTCACCGTCTCAAAGTTCCATGCAGTCTTCAGTGTTCTGCGTGGTTTGGCACCAGGCATGTTTTGTTTTTTTTTTTAATGAAAAGACGAGTCCTAGAAGACATCACGATGGCCACTGGAGGGGCTGCGGAAGCACCGAGACCCCGGCCTGCTGCTGCCAACGAGGAGCTGCTGGCTGAACAGGGTGTTGAAGGTGCGTGCACTGCGGCCCCCGGCGTGGTGACTGCTGGAGCGGATGATGAGGAGCAGGAGCCCAGGAGGGTAAGGAGAGGGCTTGCTTTTGCCAGAGGTGGTAAGGAAGGCTTCGTGGAGGAGGAGGTACCTGTTCCGTGTCTCGATCGGACAGGTGGGTGTAAGGAAAGGGGTATCCAGAGGAGACAGAAGGGGGAGAGACTGCTGTTTGAGAACAGTGAGGGGTACTGTGTGGCAGAGTTCCTCTTGTAAGTGTGGAGGAATCAGATTTTATCGACTAGCCTGGGACCTTAACCATCACTGTTTTTACTAAAAGGATTTTTTTTTTATACAATGCATTTTCAAGGGAAAAAATCTTTTCAGAAAGCAGGGCCTTAAAAAAAACCTTGAGTCTGCGAGCACTGTTCGATCTGCCTGTACATAATAACAAGCTGGTTTTCTGCACCCCACTTGCTGCTAGGTTTCATTGGATAATTTTTAAAGGTGGTCCATCCTGGTTGCTGATATTGGAGATCTGCGCACAGAATGAGCGTCTCTCCCTGGATCATACCTTTGGGGCCAGTGGTTCCTTTATCAGCAACATGTCACTGTATTTAGGGTTGATTATGTGTTTAACAAGGCGCTCAGCTGGAAACACGTCTCCTAATTCTCACTGCCGATCACTGCTCCTGACGGGGGCCAGTCCTTTCATCCTGTGGCACACAGACACGAGCAGGGTTGACAGACGGCAACACGATGCTTGTCGGTCAGGCCTGCTGGGCAGGGGGAGCAGGGGGGATTCTGAGTTTCTCTGTAGAGACGAACGTGACAGCTGTTGGCCACAGGCGAATCGGGGTATAAGAACAGGAGACATTGAGATATGGAAACACGCTGGATGGAACACAGGGCCGTTTGGGAAAAGCAGTATTTGGAATATGGCTTGTTCCTGGGAGGGACCCAGGAGGTACTTTGCTCTCTTCTAGGCAGAAGGGGCCCTTGGGGCTTGTAGAAGATGCAGAAAAGGAGGAGGCATTCCTTTTCTCCAGCTGCTTCCTGGAGTGACCAGTGGAGGCCACAGGTGCAGCCACCTTTTGCAGTCCGTAGTAGCAGGCCTACTCTGCAGGTCGTGCTCTGGAACCTGTGTCTTTGACCACGCTGCCGGGGAGGGGTCAGCCTGAGGGGGTGTGGCAGGGGCTTTTGGGAACCTGATGAGGGGAGAGGGGCCCTCCTACCCTGGCAGGGTTGGTGAAAACAGGGATGCTCCCTGCTGTCTCCCGGCTCCCACCCTGAGCCCCAAACAGGCATTCACTCGTGGTCACAGGGAGCTGGATGTTACGTAGCTGTCGGATGCAGAAACCCGTGGTCGCCCGTGGCTGTGGGATTGGGGGTCCTGGGGAGCCCGTCTGGCCTCTGAGCCGGGGGAAGCATCCCAGTTCACAGGTGTTGTGCCTGCTCCCGAAGCTCAGACGTGCGGCTGTTTCTGTGCTGGGCTCACAGCCAAGTGAGAAATGCAGGGACCCCTCTGCCCACCCTGCCCACGCATGGGAGCCTGGGCGTGCCTCAGAGTTCTTTATGCGGAGAAACCAGCCACAGAGAAAACGGTTGTTTACGTTTTATTTTAAAGGAGGACGATCCCCCAGGTCTCAGGCGCCTCTTTGAGAAATGCCCTGTAGCACAGGGCCTGCAGAACTCCTTCCACAGACATCCATCCCCCATCTCTTCCACTTGTTTTCATCCCCAAGCCACACTGAGGGAGTCTGGTGACAAGAGAGCCCCTCTCCTCACTGCCCTGAGTCCCAGTGACAGCAGTCACTGCATGCACTGAGTCTTACTTTTCAACACGGAGACATGTTAGCGTAACTGTAACTGTAGGTTTACTTTTAATGTTATCAGTATTAAAGTAATTTTAGAAGCCATAACTTTAAAAATGGTTCATTTTTCATGATAAATTTAGTGTATACTTATTACACAAAAATTAGGATGGAAAAGAGCAGAACTTGACAAAGGACCGTGCGGCAAATGCAGCAAACACCTACATTTTGCCCTGTTTTCCATTAGGTCCTCCCTGAGCACAGAATAGCAACAGCACAGCAGTGACCGAGTTTTAGACGCGATGTCGTCTCCTTTTCTTTTTAAGTTAACCTAGGAAATGTCTGTGGCCATCTTGCTCTCGTGACCACGTGGTCTTCACTGACGTGATTTTACACAGGTCTGCACAACCTGATGGACTGAAGGCTGGGCGTTAAGTTGACCGTCTGTCACTTTCTAACCACGGTGAGTCTCTCCCTTATCTCATGAGCATGGATTCCAGTCACTGTACAGGTGTTTTAATGATGATGATGATGATAGGTTTCATTAGTTTGATCCTCCCATTCTGAGGCGTCCGTTCTTTCTTCAGGAGATGGGGTTGCTGTGCTGTGAAGTACAAGCCTTCATTGGACAGCTGCTGGGTAGCAGTTGGGGTGTGTGTTGGGGGGTGTTTGTGGTCCTTAAATCTGAGCGGAGGATTGCATTGAAGCACTCGGGCCCTTGGGGACAGTGCCCATCCGGCCTCGCCCAAGTGCCCAGTGGAGACAGCTGCCTCTCGGCAAAGGACGGCACCTGGCTCACACAGTGGCGGGCACTCTTGGTCCTGAATGTCCTGTGCTGTGGAACGCTGACCTCCCCACACTCCCCACCTGGAGGCTGATAAAGCCGGATGCGTTTTCAGAATATTTGAAAACCTGTGATGACCACAGTGGTGCATAAATAACAACAAAAATACGAATACTATGGACACATCCACCTCATTGAATCCAGGCGGATGCGCCGCCTTTAAAACACTCTCCCATTTCGCTCCTTTACCACCGGTGCTTCCTCTGTGCTGCATAATCTCCTCCCCTTTCCATCCAACCAGACCAGCCTGTTTGTCTCCAGCAGCCTCTTCGTGTCACTGAGGAAGGTCAGGAGCTCGGGAGCGCTGCCGCTTCTCAAACTGCAGCCTAGGAGGGAAGAAATGGCTGGAGAGGAGGCTGATCTTTACTGTCAATTAAACTTGGCAAACAGAGGTTCCCAAGTTCTCCCATCATCCCAAATTCCTTAACGTAATGTCTCTTGTATGTTTCCTTCTAGACTTTAACATGTAGGTTATTTATAACTAAAAATCATACTGTGCTCATTTATTACCTTGCTTTTCTCTTATCTTGTCACAGTTAATCTTCGTTGTTTGCTGCTTGAATCTGCAGACCACTGCTGCTGAGAATCTGGTCCCTGGGCAAGTGGCATTGCTGTGGCTCGGGGACTTGTTTAGCGATGCAGGTCATGGGCCCTGCCCCGGTCCAGTGAGCCAGAGCTCTGGGGGGCAGTACCTCATCCTCTGTGGTTTCCTACGCCCTCCAGGTGGTCCCGGTGAGCCCAGTTTGAGAGCCGCTGACGCGGGCTCTGGTTTTGAGCACCTCCTGTGTGCCAGACACCCTCTAATCCCTGCTCCCCTGAGTGTGGCCTCTGGACGGGAGCACCAGTCCTCTCCCCAACCCACTCCCGTCTCGTCAGGACCTCAGGCCCTCGCCAGGCCGACTGAATCAGAATCTTCACTTTAAAAGTGTTAACTGAAAACCAAAAAGGCCAGAGCGAGAGGCAGAAAGTGTTTCAGACCCAGAGAAACAGCTGTTTGGGAAATGCTGACTCCGGCAGAACCCCAGACGGTGCAGGGGGTGAAGGGAAGGGGCTTGGTGAGAAAGGGAAGGGGGGAATGATGGTGGACGTGGAAGGAAGACATTCGTGTGGGTGCGGATGAGCTACGCCACCCCTTAGCTGGACGTGGGGGTGGCAATTCCACAGAAGGTCTGCCCATCAGAACGCCCACGTTCCTGTTCGCATTTGAAAGCACTGTTTGTTGCGGTGGCCCAGGCCAAAGGTGGTTTTGCCCCGTTGAAGCACTTCAGAGGTTTTAGGAATAAAACCTTCAAGGCCGTTCCTCTGGGGTGGCAACTCTGACTTCATTTTGAAGCGGCTCCATTTATATGGCTTTTCCAGAGCACAAGGTGAATCACCTCTGCCTTGCTAAAGTGCAGGTTCTGATCAGGTGGGTTTGGCATGAGGCCTGAGAGCGCGCATTTCTCACAAGCGCTGGTGGACGCTGTTGGTGCATGGACCACACTTTGACTGGACATGTACAACATAGTTTTTAAAAACATAAGGAGCCTTAAAAAGAGATACAGTGTCTGATACAAGCACCTTATGTTATGTACTAATATCAGCTCCCTTTCCCAGGTGAGAAAACATGAGGCTGAGTGAGGTGAGGGGACGGGCTCAGGGCCGTGCAGCCGGTTCCTGCAGAAGCCGCCAGACAGGTAGGCGACTCCACCCGCTCTCTGCTACGTGGCAGCGCGTGGTGACTGCACCCACAGCACCCTCCGAGGCGGGGATCACGAGGCAGCCGGAAGCCAGCCTCCTGGCGCCATCATTTTCTCCTGGCGTACTTAGCATGGGTCTCTCCAGCTGTGTATGTTACTGTACAGATCTTTATAGTGATCACACGTTTAAATTACAGCAACAGAGGATGTCATTACTGATGTCTGCAGACATATCCAGTTACAGCACGTCACACATCCCGTATCATTCCCGCCGGAGACGACGATGTTCTAGCTCTAGTTTTTTGAGATTTGCTAATATTTTATCATACAATTACCGTTTTTTTAATATGCAATCTAAAACTATTAGCTACCTGATAAGATTTGATTTCATCTTGAATGTGATATTTTTCCGGAAGGTTCCATTTCCAGCTTCACACAGTGCTGCCAATGCTTTGTGTTACGTCCCCGAAGGGGTAACAAATGTACCTGATACTGTTCACATACCCAGTGTCTTTTGATCAGGATTAACCGTTCTATTTCTGTGTCCTGAAAAGAAAGCGTATCGTTTTCTGAAGCGATGACGGGGAGGGTATGTGGTCTTCGCTGATTCTCGTCGTCTTGTTTCGGAGTCGGCTGCCCGTGCCTGTGTCTGAAGGCCCGTCTTCGCCGTGAACCTGGCTCCGCGTGGTGCCCAGAGGAATGTACCCTGAACCCGTCGTGGCTGCGCGTGAGGCTCGGGCACGGTCGTCAGACACGCGTGTGGGCACCCGTTCTGTGCAGCGCTCCGCGAGGACGCTTGCTCTCTGAAAGGAGGAGGTGTCGTTCCGTGCCTGTTCCCGGCGCGTCAGTCCATCAGCCGCACGCGGCGTCTGAAGCTGTCACCGAGGGAGGAGAAGGAGAGAGCCCCATTGCACTTTTAAATTACATTTCACGTTCAATGATCTCATTACTCGGGAGGAAGATGAAAGACAATATAATTTTAGCATGTGTCTCTGGCAGCCTCTTCCTTTTCCATGGGGCGTGTTGGTGTTTGGGGATGATGGATCAGTGGAGAAGAGGAGAGACCCGGCTCGCTTCGTGCCATCAAAATCTCCGCCGGTATTTAGTGATAAACATAAGTAGATTGCCGTGCCACCCCCGAGGCAGGCCGGTGCATTTATGCAGACTGATGGACGAGGGCTTTCACAATACAGGCAATTTGAGGATCAAGCCAGAGGGATGCGTTAGAGGATGCTGTCTGGCACGCTCAGCATCAATAACACGCTGTTGCCGGGGAGAGAGGCAGGTGCGTTCCTTCCTCGGGGCTTACTGCCCAGGGACGGCAAATCCGTCCTCTGACAGCGTCACTCGGAGTCACACACCACAGGGCTGCCCAGATTCCTGTGGTCTGCGCTTTACAAATAGGGTCCCTGGGACTCCAGGACACACATCCGGCGGCGATTCTGTAGATGGGGCTGTGCATTTCCTGAGAGCTGGTAATGAGCTCTCTCCTAGCGTCATTCTACCTAATTAACCACACAGCTCAACGTGCAGTGTGCTGAGCCAGCCAGAAACTTATCCGCCTCTGTACTTTGGTTTGGACACCTCGGGTTCTTCACACTGATTCTCACCAAAGCAGCAAACCACACTTTAAAGACTGTCCCAGTTAAGGGAAGCTGGAAGACTGTCTTGTTGCTTTAACCTCGCCCCTACCCCCAACCTCAGCTGGATTCTGAGTCACTAGGGTAGGGATCACATCTTAAGTCTTGGTTTGTTTTGCATGCCCCCATCTCAAGCATGCGCGTACACACACACACACACACACACACACACACACACTCACTCTCTCTCTCTCTCACAACATTGTCCATAGGGGGTGCTCAAAAGCAGTTACTTGAGTCTTGTTGGAGAGGGTTGGTTACGTCAGCATGAACTCAACAGCTCTACTCACTTTGGGCTCTGTTTGTTGTACCTTCCCCAGTCCCTTCAAGTGTGAGGTTGGATTGTCTGGGATTTTTTCTTGTTTCTTGAGGTGAGTCTGTGATGCTACGAATTTCCTTCTAGGACTGCTTTTGCTGTGTCCCATAGATGTTTGGGTGCTTTTTCTTTTTCATTTGTCTCAGTGTCTCTCTTGATTTCTTCTTGAATCTCATGGTTAACTGGTTCATTGTTTAGCAACACGTTATTTAGCCGATGTGGTTGTGTTTTTCAGAGTTTTTTTTTTCTGTAATTGATTTCTAGTTCCATATATACCAAGCAAGTCATGAGGGCAGATACTTGGCCAAAGTCACAAGAAGTTCTTTATCTGGGCCCTGCCAGCTGCCCCTGTGCCCTAACCCCCGAATGAGCGTAGCTGGGGCATCATGTTCTGAACATCGTCGGTTAGCGTGCCTTTATTTAAAATCACATTTGCTTTGCAATGGTTAACTTTAAGTGCCATTTTGACTGGGCCACAGGGCAGTGAGATATTTGCTCAAACATCATTCTGGGTGTTTCTGTGAAGGTGTTCCCGGATGAGAGTAACATCTGCATTGGTAGGCGGTGTCAAGGCCCACACTCCCTATTGAGCGTGGCCCCATCTGGCCCACTGAAGGCCTGAGTAGAGAAAGAACAGGCTGGCCCTCCCCCGTCAGCGAGAACGCCTCCTGCTGACCACCTTCAGGCTGGAACCTTGTCTTTTTCCAGCTCCTTGCTGGCTCCTGAGCCTGCCAGCCTTCAGGTGGGAGCAGTGCCATCATCTGTCAATCAATCAATCAGTCTCTCTGTCTCTCTAGAACACTAACACATGCTTGACATTGGTCTAGAACTCCCGCAAAGTTCTCTGATGTGTTTCCTTTGTTATTTTTCAACGCAGCTATAGATGTCTGTCTTATTTTTATATCGCCTTGGTCATTCTAACGAGTTTCTAGGAGGGAGGGGAAATAAATACCTGAGCTCAAACCTGTCTCCATCCGGAGACCGGAAGTTTCCCAAGATACCATACTTTCGCCTCCTCCCCTCTAAATGTCTTGCCCCGTTTCTGTGCCCCTGCAGCTCCCCGAGCCGCCCCTCCTTTCCTCCTAAATCACGGCACATCTTCTCTTCCTTCGGTCTGCACAGCCTGTACTCTGGGCCTCTGGAAAAAAACAAACCCCATTTTTGTGCTTTTTGGTGGTTAAATGCCAGCCATGTGTTCCCTCAAAAGCTGTCCTTTCCCTTTTTATCCCACTCACTGACCCTGTGAATGGTATTTGATGTACAAGAGCCGGAACAGTCATTAGCTGAAAATGTTTTTTTTCTAGGTAAAAATCTCTCACAGCTCTGAATCATGCCCCCCCAAATTTTTTTTTAAAAAGGCCCCCTGCAGCAAACCCTCTCAGCATCCACGCCTGGCCCGCTGGGGCCTGATTGCACAGAGGCGTTCGGTGATGTGATTGCACAGGGCTCGGGAGTGACCGAAACTACCGAGGGGCTCCTGGGAGTGACCTTTTTCTTGCTGGTTTCTGTGCAGATAACCTTCCCTCTGAAATGAAAAAAGTTGAGTCTCTGTATCTTTCCTGTTTATCCGGTCCAAGCAGGATCCTTGCAGGAACCCAACTCAAGAGGATGTCTGCTGGAAGCCGCGTGTCTGCTGACGCTTCCCAGGGTGCTTTGGAGTTACCGCTAATTGAATGCAGTGGGGCGTTTCCCCCCGCCCCCGGCCCGGAACCGGTCACTCCTAAGTAAATGCAATGTTGCACAGTGCACAGGCATGACAGCCACCTGCCAGTGACCCCGTGTTCCATGCGAGGGCCCCTCTGAGCTGCTTCAGCTTGCACATTCCGTCAGGACATAAATAGCACCTGCAAGCAAGTTCGAGTTTGCTGAACAGACCCCCACACAGATCTGGGACCTCCAGCCCCTTCCGTCCGTGTTCAGACTGCAGTGACAAGCCCCGCTCCATTTCCAGACTAGAGCCCTTGCCTCTGTTTCCTGCCCCCTCAGAAACACAGAGGACCATAGAGATTGTGAGGTCCTGGGGTGTTGGCAGGAGGGGGCTCATAGGACCAGCGCACTGCCGTCGAGTTGCATGTGACCTACCCAGGAGTGGCCCCAGGTGCACGGTAACGACAAGCTTTACTGAGAACTGAAACGCATAAAAGTACAGAGCACTCAGCATCCCCTCAGTCCCAGGCAGTGGAGCCGATGTCCACTGCAGCCGCAGACGTGTTTCCCTGCCACCCCCGTGCCTCATCACAGGCTCCACGAAGGGAGGGCGGGGAAACCTGGTTTTCTACGGTACTGGGTGGGGGGTTCTCTGGCCTTGCTACTCAGGTGGTCACTGAGGGAGTTAGAGTACCAGAGTTGCTGATAGAACCTGCTGTCACTCGTGAACAGGGTCGACCAGCTGAACCAACTCACTCTCTGTCCTTCAGAGAGGGCTGCCTGGCGCCGTGGCAGTGGAGGTCACAGGTTTGTCCCCAGTGAGACGTGTGGCAGCTGCCTGCGGGTGGGCGCACATTCCCACGGTGTCTGTGTCCCACGGGGTCCCTTTCCCAGCCACCCCTGGTCTTTAGTCCCCGGGTAAAAATATTCTCTGGGCTCCTGCCGGTGCCTGGCAGGGCCTGCCCCACTTCAGGAGTGAGCCCTGTGCCCCGTCTCTCCTCAAAGGCACCCGTGTTTCCCCGGCTGGCAGGGAGCATACTCTCGTGATGCCGATGGGCGCACGTGGTCAATGACAACCTGAGACTCTACAAGTGGGTCTGCGCATGGCCGTCTGGGGAGAGGAGGTCCTGGTGCCCTGTGCTCCTGAGGAAAATGATGTCTTCAGCGTTTGCTCTTCAGACACCGTCTTGTCATGGGACCGTGGGTCTCCGGCGGGAGCAGACACAAAGATCAGGCTTTGTGACACCTTATAAAGAGAAACATCACAATGCGATCTGTTTTTTTTCTGATTCTAAAAGTAGTACCATTTTTGATTACTTCCTTGGGACCCATTCGTAGAAGTAAAATTACTGTTTCAAAGATGACCTTTTTTTTTATAGCTCATGGCAAGTATT